TTGCATTGGATCAATGTCATCAATATTATTAGATGAAATTTCTATTTATTGTTTTTCTTAAATTTCGTTCCTCCGGAAGATTGTTCATATTCACAAATCAGGAATAAAGTACTTGGTGTTAAAGCATTGCATTATCATGGTAGATAGTGTTTTTGCCAAGTTATTTGGTAAATCAATGAAATACAAATTGAGCGTATTGAAATCATTTTTCTAAAAACAAGCATAGATTCAATCTATTTTTTGCCCAACATACAACACCATCTAACACATATTGATCTTGCGTGTTTTATGGATTTAATCCAAGCACGATAGGAAAATATTTTTTTGTGGCTTTATCAATAAAACTTTTCATACTGTATTTCATAAGCTCTTTTTGAGAAGACTACAAGCCCTTAGAGTGTCATCAAATCTGCTAGCAAACTTGACCACGTCATATCATTCGAATCTGACCAAGATCAACAGATCTCAAACTCAAGAGCTCTTGAGTACCATGAATATCATACAAGGTTGTACTCTCTCATACTCTATTTGAAGTTTTTATTAATGACATCAAAAAGTGGTTGCATGAATGTGATAATGAAGTTGTCAAGCTTAGAAACTTAGTCATCAAAGCTCTATTGTATGCAAATGATATCATATTATTAGCACGTAATGACATTAGATTACAAAACACCTCCACATTTTGGCAACTTATTATTTTTAAAATCAGATGAAGGTTAATATTGAAAAATCCTAACTCATTAAAGTGAGCATTAGATCTAAGTTGTCATCCTATTACAAGGATCTATAATGAAGAGTTACAAATATCTAGACTTTGATTTTTCTAATGACAATAGTTGAGCACTTTGCGTGCAAAAGAGAATAGAAGAGAGATGTGATGCAAAAGATATTAGAAATTGATTAAAAGCTTCAATATCATTGTTCATTCGACCGATAAGAGCTTATTTTGTGTCTTGGAATCTTGGAAAATTTTCATATAAGAATTTAATGTTGGTGATCTTATGTGGAATCCAAGTGTGTAACTTTGGTGAAAACAAGACATGTTGCAAGTGCTTGAAGAAGATGCAAAAGATCTTTCTAAAAAATATTGGGTGTAAGCAATCAAACTCTGTATGCTATTCCTTCTTACAAAAACAAATTGTATTCCTCTAGAGTTTGAAGCACTTTACTTGACTATCACTTACATTGCAATGGTGAGATTTCTTAATACTTCTTGTTCTCCTCATCAAGCTTTGCAAGCCACACATTTCATAGGATATTTATTGGTTTTGATGACTTGATATTCAAAGTGAAATATGGTCAAACAATATTGAGACTTGCAACCGATGGCACTTCATGAGCATCTACATATGTTATTTTTCAACATTATTTAGATAAATCGGAACACCAAAATAGAGCTTTATTAACTTCATATTAATCATATGCTTGTATATTGCAAACAATAGTACCTACTTGTGGAGATCTTCACATTCTTGCGTCATAGTATTGCACAACATAGAACTACATCTCATATGCTAGGAATTGAGGAAGCAAGATGGTTTAATATTGATAAAAGAAAAAAATTGTAAGATATGTGATTGAAAAAATATTGAGGATGAAAAACATGTGTTTATTACATGTACAAGGTATGAAGAGATTAGATTATATTAGGTGTAGAATTTTTAATGTTTATTACAACTAGTGACTTATGATTTAGTTATTTTGTGGTAACGTAGTTTTTCATTTTTTTTTAATAGACAAAGTTTGAGGAGTAGAAGACTAGTAGTTTCAAACTTTTAGAATAGGATTAGTTTGAATAGATTAAATAGCAAATTCTGGAGAGATCAAGTTAGGAGTAGTGGATTCTATTTAGCTTCTTTTCTTTGAAGTTAATGTTTTTATTTGTAGACAGTAAAGTTGAATTAGATGAGTTATGATCTGATAGAGTAAATACCTAATAAATTTTTCAATTACTAAAAAATTGACTTAGAGAAGATCTCGATAGATAGAGCTCGGCACGCTCGTTCTAACTAGCTCAAGAACTCTTAAAACGGATAATTTGTCACGGAGTTATGAGTGTTGGAAAAGACTAGTATGGATAGGCGAAGGCGCTGAAGTGTCCTTAAGCCGAAGAGACTTCAAACTTCGGCAAAGAAGTGACTTCGGACTCAAACACCTTCGGACTTTGGACTTCGGCCTTAGACACCCTCCACTTTGAAGAAGAAGGACCTTCCTGTTGAGATTTGCATTGTGAAGAAAGAGAAGGAAGAACTTCGTGACAAATTGAAATTGTCTCAGAAGAGATTTGAGAGTGAATTCAAGCGCGTGATGGAGATAGAGCGTCTAGTGAAGGATTTGGGAGCTAGCGGAGTCGCGGATTATCAGCAATTAGGTAGTAAGCTCAATTTATTCATCTCCGGTTTGGAGTAGACGAAGGAGAACCTGTAATTAGAACCTGGAATCCGCTGTTTTTGGTAGGATAGGAGTCAATAGTAGTTCAGCGGGTGTGGTAACTGTTGTGTCTGCTGGCATCGCACCTGTTGGGGGCTCGCGGCTCAGCGGGTGATGTCCATGGGTGTTAGTTAGGAATAAAGGGGCCCAAGTCTCTACCTTTATGGGCTTTTCCATTAGTTAATTTCTCAATTTTTGTCTCAGTTTTTGTCGCCGTGGGTACATATTTCCCCATTTCATTCCGTTTGACAAAACCTTTCTCTTTTAACTTGTAAAAAAGTTTCGTAATGGAGGCACAAACCCGAAGAAGTTCTGTTGAACGCTGCTTAATTGTCTTGCCTCTTACCGTGTGCATTCCTCACTGTTCTGTTAGTGAATTGTGTGTTTTGTCACCGTGCGCGAGTTGCTTCAATTTGTTGAACATACCGCATCTAAAGTAGAGAGTCCAATTTGGATGTTTAGAGTGGTGCATAGTCTAGCTCATAATTTAAGAAAATCTGTACATCGGAAGCTCGGTGCAGCCAGTTGAGTGTGTAATCTTGGAAATTTTTTTCCCCCAGAATATCAATTGAAGAGTTGCGTGCGGCTTTTGAAGGGACTTATTGGATGAATTTCAGGATTCGAGTGTGATTTCACCCTACAATGTGTCGCCTTCGGCCGTAGCAATTGCAGTCTCTTCTAGAAGTGACATGTGACCAAGAAGTAATACTCTTCAATAGAATGTGAATTCGTGACACTACTTGGTTCTATGGGGTTGTTTTTGTCATCGTGGGATCGGATCTCTATTATTATGCTCCATTTTGGTAATTTTTTGTCATTACATATTTATATAAGAGACATCATTATTCATCGTTCTAGTGCTCTAAGCAATAGCTAGAAAAGATCCTTAGGAGATTCTAAGGATCTTTTCTAGCTATTGCTTAGGGTTTAGGGTTAAATCCTAAACCCCAAACCCTGAACCCTCATTCTTTGGTAAATGAATGTATAAATTGTAATGTGTTTTTCAAACTTTTGATTCATTGTATTCCACAAGCTTGATCAATTTACCATTTAAAACGTCTAACTTCACATTTATAGGTCCATATGAATATAGTGGTATAGTAATAAAGAGTTGAAATTTTCTTACACTAAGATGTCTAACTTCATGTCCATATAAATGATAGAGTGATAATAAAGTTGAGTTTTTGTGTTTCTCTCAAAATTGAAAACATATGCTATTTTAGTTTCAACAAAAGTAATCATACATCTTTAATTAAACGCTACTTTCATTCAAATTATATGAGGTATATTGAATGATAAATACCTTGAAACTATGAAAAATAGAGCATTAGATTGCTCCTATACATTAAAGATATATAAGAAGAAACATGAGACAGAATAAGATTTGAATAAGACTAATAAGTTAATCCAGGATTACAAACCCTGGATTAACTTGTGCATGCTTAACCATTTTACCCAGGAAGTGATTTATCTTTGACAATATTTTGCGAATGTAAAGTACATGCAAGAATCATCAACATGCATCATGTGTGATTATTTGTTGGTTATTTATCCAACATCATTCAAAAAGTAAAATACTAGCTGTCAAATATACACCAGTTTCAGTTTTATGAGAGTGCACTATATCAGTAGATATTACACTGCTCGGTAGCGGGCGAAGAGCGGCTTCAAATGATTATGTAGACCTCACAGGAAGCTATTAGAGAATGACATTGTCCACTGTGGGAAAGTGGTGCTCCAAAGTCTCGGGTTGATTGAATGTCCTTGGTCTAGTGGCAACGGATTGTAAATGGTGTTGTCAATGTGGTTCCTGATCAGAACCAAGCCCCCAATCCAAACAGAATGTTTGTTATAGTTCTAAAAAAAAAGTTGAGATTTTAGACAAAGACGGTACCGTCCAATGTCTCAATTAAAAACAAAAAACAAAAGACATCGATATGACAACTAAGATATGATGGTCCCAAGCAACTATCATTGTACGTACAATAATTGGTCATTCAATCACTTTGCTCGACGGTGATCGCTTCGGCCTTGTAGCTATTGCCCAATACAACACGGGTTCACTGACCCCTCCTGTTTCTGACATGATTTGGCACTTCCAGGGAAGTAAGGCGGCCCTTAGCAGCTCGTACCACACACTATGTCTGAGTACTACGAGGCAGCTAACAGTGTGCATGGAGAAAACCTGCTCCAAAGAGGGGTGCTGTCTTTTAGCTTACAGCTTAAAAGATTATCTACCAGATAAATTCCAAATAACTGGAAAACTCACGTGAAAATAGTTCTATAATATCTTTATAAAAATTATGTTGATTGATATGCAAAGTAGTTAGTATCAGAATGTGCTTGCCCCACTTCATTGTTACTTTTGTGAAAGTCGATATAGTTTCCAGATAACCGTAGTTTGTAGGCTGACTACCTGCCAGAAAAGAGGGAAACGTCCATAACTGATCCACCCAAACAGCTTCGATATTATCCAATATGTACAGATCACACCAAGGCTGGATGTACACTGGTAACTCGATGATAGTACTGATTTAAGTGCACTCAGATGTTAAACTCACAGATATTTCACCTGTTAATGTTGTTGGATCAATGTGCAGTTTTGGACAAAGTCTTCATCTGCATGCAGAATTTCCTCACATCAGTCATATGGGAAGAGTCTGTAACACACACAGGCACAGGCACACTTTGTAACACACTTATTACGTTTCTCACTGCCATCGTCTGCAAGGTCTGAGTGCGGACAGCGGGCAGAGTGGAACTTAAATGACCTTTGATTGGACTACCAATTTAAAGGTACTGTTTAATCCCAATAAAATAGGAAAAATGTATGGATAGGAATATACAGCAGCTTCAAAGCACCACACACACAGAGTACACCCCAAATGATAAGCCAAAGTCCCAATCTCACCTCTTCCTAGCAAGTACACGATAAAGCTGTCCAGGGTTGCGTATATTTCCTCGTCGTATGCCCGTTCTACACAGGTACAGGAAAACGTACTGCGAGGAGGCAACTCCCAGGAAGGGGAGCCGCAGCCAAAGGTAGATCTTGGTCCAAAATAAGAGTGAGGGAAAGAGGAGAAGAAGGAGAGGAAATCAGAGTGCTCGAGAAAGGCGAGGGAAAAACCAGAGACAACGACGCCCGGGTAGCAAGTTGCAACTGATCGGCCTAAATTACGGGCCGGATAATCCAACTCCATATATTCCAAGGGAACTCTTTCTAAAGCCCCGTCCAGTCCAGTCCAGCCCAGCCGGATACACACGAGTCGTATACGGAAATATACTCGAGAATCAAGGCGGTCATGGAAGACACGACATGCGAGTTGGTGCCACATGCTCCATACGCGCTCTTTTGAGCTCGCCTGTGCAGTTTTCTACCCAGAAATCGGGGGTCGAGAGGCGCAGGCGTACTTGAATGGGAAGCACAAGGTGGTCATGGACGACACGATACTTCGTTGCGAGACGCGAACGTTGCACGAAAGCAGCCGCTCATACAGGCCCCGGGGCTAGGCTCTTATCCAGGCCTAAGAGCACAATGTGCTAAATTTGTCTTCCATTTGAAGGATGCTCGTTGTCGCCACCGAAGCAATCAATCAGGTGAGTCTAGACGTCATCATTCTTTGTGTCAGACAGCTGCTGCTGTTCGTGAGGTGGTGAACTAACATATGACATAAATCTCATATATATCTGATATCAACAAAGCGAACCTCCTCTGCGGCTGCCGAGAGAATCAAGCCCGAGCGTCCTTCACTGATTCCTGGCCCTGCCCCTGCCCCTGCCCCAACAACAATCTCCGCACGCACCTTTGGACAAAAGATGACGCTGGAACATTCTCCGCGGGTGAAACCACGGCCTCGCCTCTGTCTCCTAAAGGGGGTAAAAAGAACCGTTTGCCCTCGGTCCAGAAAACATCCCACGAGACAAGAGACGGAAGGGAGGGGAGGGGGGGACGAGGAGGAGGAGTTCGTTTCTCGGGGGTCAGTCATTATCAGCGTCAAGCTCGTATGCATTATCCGTACTTAGCAGTAGGATAGGGACGACCGAGTCCGCCTTTCGGGGTCATTATCAATTAAAGGCCAGAAAGTTGTTCTGCCTGGGCTTGCCTCGCTTCAGATAGACAGGGCACTACGACGAGGCTTTGAAGCAACATCTTCGTGGACAGATGACCCTTTTCCCGCTTCCCTACCTTCCTTTCTCCCGGGGACAGGGTGGGCAAATACCGGTGCAAACGCTAATGTACAACATTACATCGTTTTACGCATGGCTTTGCATGACACGACATCTGTTGTGCCCTCTTTGGTGATAAGAAACAAGGCAGTACGTATCCGCAGCAAAACCACTAAATAATTATCATGATGCGTTCTGACCTACAGTTCTAGCTTAGCTTTGTACTCAAGTCAGTGACGTGAACCTAGTTCTCATGGGTCAATCATCCGCCTCGGTCTTAGACTAAGATCAGATCAACTTGAGATGCCAGCCTATCTAGAACGTCGCTAATCATGTTAATTCAGAGCCAAGATTCTGGAAGATTCTGGAGCTCACGGGTTGAGTATTATGAGCCATTGGTATAACTTTCCGCCGACACTTTTGTGCTGCTTCTGGCACAGAGTGTAGAGGTTTCACCTATTCCCAACCGATGCTCACAATCCCATACACCAGGAGGACACTGGCCTGTCAATGTTTATCATCGTTCGGTCTGATCTTTCTACCTTTGCTACTGCAACTATCTGGTAAAGGCAAAGCGAGTGTTTGTTTCTTGTTCTACATTTCACTCGAATGGTACAGCTGAGCGAAATGGATGATCTATGGGCCTAATATTCCATTGGCGTACTGAACAACCCAGGCTTCCAAAGCTGACAGAATGCACCCAAAAGCTGGCTGGCTGGCTGGTGGGCCTTGTTGAATGGAATACAAACCTAGTCATGCCTTCGGTCTTTTGGTTTCTCTGGAGACTTGCGGATTGAAGGTTATCTGTGTTGTTTCGTTGGTGTTTGTTTTCCCACGAGAGTGTACTTTCGTTTTGGAACTGACAGAAAGTTTGGACTTCGAGGTTTGGGTTTTTGGGAGTTATCTTCGTCCAGAGTTTTGCTGCTAAATTCTCTGATTTTTGTCCAGCCCAGAATTGTACATCATTTGTCGGCACCTTCACCTAGCTGACAGAAAGTTCAACTCAATTGTACACGAGTTTTATGATGTTCGAGAGCTAGAGAAGCAGTTCATTTCCGTTCATTTCGGTCTTATCCCAACCTTATGGTGCACTTTTGCTGGTGGGTGATGACAATCTACACCGAGCTGCACGACGAAATCAGTCAGAGGACTGCCTGCATCCGAGTCTTTGAGGATCTGTACTTTAGGTGAAAACTAAACTGCCTTGGGTGGGGCCGGTAATGAGATAAGGACAACTTACCACTAGAATTTGAAAAAACACGACAAGCTTTCGAGTACATGGTACAGAGAATCTACCCGAAGCAGCTACCCAGCCACCAAGCCATGACTTCCTAGACCGGGAAAAATATACACCTAGGATCAGAAGCGTGCAGAATGCAGGGAGAGATAGCTCGGCACGAAGTTTGCTGTTTACTGTTCTAGGTGAGCCTACGAGCATTTATGGTTCCAAGGGCTATCTACGTTGGTAAGAATGCGGCAGATAGCTGTCAATTGATGGATATCAGTAGGCAGGGGGCAGGTCGGCAGGAAGAAAGAAGCTAGGTACCCAAGTCGGTACTTTCGTCTGATTAAAGTGTACCTGTGTGTATATGCTTTGAAAGTGCGAATGTTATGTGATCTTTCATGCAAGTGCCGTGCTTGCTCCTGTCATAGCGAGTTGTCAGACAAATCTATGTGTATATAGTGCTAGAAAGGACCGAAGGTCCATTCGTAATGTATGTACCATGTACGAGGAGGTTCCTGCATCGACATTGTACATGTTCTAGCTCACGGTTCTCCTTGTGATGTAAAGAACATTCAGCTGAGTTCACATACATGCCTCAAGACATCCTGCTTGTGACTGGAAGAGACTGCGACAAGCCAGCCTAAAAGTTCCAAGGATGAGAACATGTCAGAAGAGAGCATTAATTGCACAGGGGACTGATGATGACGATTGATAAGTGGGTGGAGCGAGACGAAAACCGGACGGACATACTCTGGAATATCATGGTGACGTTGACGACAGTATTCATGTAGAAATTGTCCTGTATTTTATTAATGTAATAGCTCCTTATCACAAATACCTAAGAAACCTCCTAGAAGAAACCCTTTGAAGGGTCTAACCTGTCGAAATGGACCAGCAGACGCACTTTGATGCCAGGCATCATCACAATACTAGAGTGTCCAGAAGCCTTGACATGCTATGAAGATGGCAAAAAATCTCGTTCCAAGCAGGGCTGACTTACAGCAAACATCACGAAAGGGTCGAACTTCCACTTGGGCGATCTGAAAATGTCTGAAGTGCAAACCTCCTCCTTTTCCCGATGTAAGTGGCCAGCAGGTGTTACAAATTTGTAATTTGTTAGTAACAGTATCAATCTCTCAGATTTGGTATCTACCATCGAGTGGAATCTTCAGCTCAAGATCAGCATCCATACTAGGGCCATACAGTACAGACAACACATTGTCATGCTTTTAGGCCAGCATCTGGCTAATCACCGAGGGAAACTCTTCTTCAGCTGACCATGTGAACTTTGACCTCATATGGGCTGAAATCAGCGGTATCTGGATCTCAAATGCAAATATTGAGATGAAGATTGACGACACCAACAACTCTTCAATTCTACTCACTCAGTCCGAATCTATGAGGGTGGCGTAATCAGTTAGTCTGTCAATGCAGATGTCCTCCCAGACTCCGGTGTCTGCATCACGAGTCATTGCATGGTTATCACATCGTTAGAACAATCCTTCAATTGTCTCATGACACACGACCGTTGATAGCATGCAACTGGTGCTCAACGCAACCAGGACTACTGCGATCACAAACAATACAAAACTGATTTTTGGGCATTTATGTACTTCAGTGCATCTGAACGAGATCTAACTCAAACCTGGAGGAGGAAGAATCTCTTCCACTTCTGGCTTATCATTCTTTTCATCTTTTGCACCCTTCTTCTTTTTACCCTTCTTTTTGTCAGCAGCACCCTTCTTTCCCGCCCCTTTGCTCGCAGCCTCTTTCTTTTCGTTCTTATTATACTCTCCTTTCTTTCCTCCATCTTTCTTTCCACCTCCCTTTTTCGAGTCTTCTTTCTCGCTTTTGGCATCTGTCCTACCCTTCGCATCCTTCTGCAAACCTTGCTTCTTGGGGTCATCCTTAACACCTTTTTTAGCGGCTTCTAGCTTAGCGGCCTCTTTGTCAGACGCCTCCTTCTTGGCAATCTCTTCAGGAGTAGGAGGCGGTGGTTTGTATGGTGTACGCAAAACGGTTGACATGGCACGCTCAAGCAGGACTGGTTCAGGGGGCGGAGGGGGAAGAGGCTGTCCGTCTTCTCCAAGTTTGACTTCCTCTGCCTCACCCTCCAAAGGCTTTTTCGGCGTGCGAGGCTCCGGTATCTCATACAGCTTCGGATCTGGTGGGGGCCGCAGTCCAGTGGAAATACGATGCACCCTGGGATCTGCATAGCCCCCAACATTGGCAGCGGCTCTTCACAAGCCTAGATAACTGCGGCATATGGACTGTATACACTGACAGGAACAGGAACCGTTGGTTGCTCTAGATATAGCATCCTGGGCAAGGATTTCTTCGACAATCTGAGTGCAAAGCTCTTGATAACGAGAGTTTCCTGTTCTACATTGGTACGAGCATGGGCATGCTCTGGACCGCAAAGAGGCATTTGAAATGACTTGAGACCATCCTCACTATTGCAGTCACGCAAATGGTAAAAGAGTGAGGACGAACTAAACAGGGAGAAATCGCTTAAACCTCTACGTTCAACGAGACAGAGATTTTTTCTGCAGGAAATCAATTATCCCCACATTTGTAAGAATCTGACAAAGGTGCACAAATGTGAAGTTCTCACTTCTCACTTCTCGGTGAAGAGCAGCCTTTGATATCAGAACCGCATACAAGAATGAATTTCCATCGGCTTTGTTACCATGGTGAGATTCTGTACAGTAAGTGAGGTCTCTGGAAGAGAAATTCCCATCTCATTATGGGGATGACCGCAAACCTAGGACCTATAAGACCTAGATGTGGACATTAAAATGTCAGTGCCTATGCTGAAGAGATAGGACATCATTCGCGTATAAATCATCTGTCTATCTAGGCCAAGGCTTGATTAAGCATTAATGAAACAGTGAAGTACTTCCTAAAAGCCAGAGTGAGACTTGTGTTTGATCCTATCTTAGTGATCCAGTCTACTCTGACAAATAACGGTTTGATATACACGGAGGGTACGTATCAGGAAAGGAGCACTCGATTTTCACCATTATCAATTTTCACCATAATGTACCCGAGACGAATGGATGGTGAATTGACCATAAAGCATGTTTATGTGTAGTATACATACATAGTTAGAGTCAGAGAAAGAGTCGTTACAAAGAAAGAACGAAAGAAAGAGAGAAAAGTATTACCTGATGTTTTCAAACACAACGCCACTATCGCATCGTTCTCCACCTGAGAGAAAAAACACAATGTTGAACGTGTTTGATGAGGTCACCGGCGAAGTACATCTCTCAAGTGTATCCAAACGGCGTTACAGTAGGCTGAAACTGCACTATACATGTTGTTCCAGGCTGGAAGAATGATCAAGAAACATAGCATATTCTATACGAAAATCACATTCCATACTCGACTTTGACCCATCATTCGTATAGTAGGAGTAATCATACTACATTTTAGCTGACAGCCCAAACCCTAACCTTATTTACATCCATACACCTTGTTGTACGTGGATGCAAACGAAATTCCTGAAAAGTACAACCTTCCCGAACTTTACTACAAATTGGACGACGTAAAATATTCCACGTTCAAGGTCACTTGAGATAATTGAATCATCCCCTGGGACTTCCACCAGTCGACCAATAACACAAGGTGAAGAAAAGAAGCACTTCGGGCCATCCGTTTAGTCCTAAATATCCCCATGAGTATATTACAGACATACACAGGTTCGAGGCGTCAGATCAAAAAGCGATGGTACGGGAAGTTGACCTAGTTGCAGCACAGTTCTACCACTGCTGCAGACGTTCCTTCATCAGCAAGTCTACTCCTTCACGCACTTAGCGTAAGGTGGAAGAACGAAGGGGCAGTGGTGAATGACATGAACGAACTTGGACATTGAAATTGAAATCAGAAAAATGGTGCGACGGGAGAATCATCACCGAGCTCCCAGTGCAGATGATAATGACGTCTGAGAAGTTTTAAAACCCATGAAAAATAACGAAACGTGCCCGTCGTACCCTAAACCCTCACACGTAGCGCACGAAATTAACAAGCGCACGAAAACCAATTCTGATCTCGTGTACGATTGAGCAACTGTAAGTTCGTGCGCTCTGGTCAAACTCACATCGTTCGTGCCAAGATCAAAGTATTCTGTACCTTTTGATCGGCAAGCGTCCTGGAGTCCTCCAAAACAAGCTGAGACGATAGCAAAATCAGTCGCTGGCAATCGACAGGGTTGTCGCTAAGTGCTTGCAGCTTCTGTTTGATCTCCAGTACAGTCTCGGACGGATCGCAGTGGAGGAAGTACGTGGTCTTTTTCCGCTTCACTCTTATAAACATCGCCTGCAGCACCATATTCCCCACACAACACCCTTAGAACAACTCCGAAGCAGGGCGTCTTTGCAGGCTGGATGGCTGGCTGGATGGCTAGTTAGATTTGATGAATGAAACAGACAGGCGGCGTTCGTGGTGGCGATGGTGATGATGAGGATGACACCAGAGGTGATTCTGGCTTCCAATCCACCCGGCAAGCCTACGAACGCGAAATGGCGTTGATTACAATGCTGGAGGTGCCAAGTGAATTCCTTCGACAATTGGGCTGTTCCGCAGCATATGCAGATTTCAAGCAGGTGAGCGCAACCACCGACCGGGATTCTCAGCGAACCAAGACAATACTGGGCTTTGCTAGCTGATAAATGAGAAACCCAAGAGGCAGTCCCAGTCCGACTCCCGGCCAACATGGACCCAATGCGGTTCAGGAGGATGATGTCAGCCAAAAGAATAAATGCCCCGCTGAGCTTACCCATAACCCTACAAACTATGCAAAGATTCTCCGCTCCCACGTCAAACAAAAACTCGCCACAATTTATGCCCGGATCAATTAGCAATTCCTGAGTATTTGAATGTGCAATGAATGGTCGATCCTCTTCACGGCTTGCCATTACAAGATCGCCGTGAGCAGCCCGGCCTCCACCCATCCCGCAATTGCCCACTCCCTCACCTTCGACCTCCCTCCTTCCCTCTATCACTCGCTCGCCCGCCCTCATCCTTGCTCTTCACCGAGCGGAACTGTGGACCCGTCGAGGTCAGGCACAGTTATCCGAAGCCTTCGTCGCCTCCGGGTGCCGCACATTCCCGCTTGGATCCGACACAATTCTACTCACGCTCGAATTGGAAAATAAACAAAATCAAACTGCGCCTCGCTCTGCAACGATTTCTCCCCAGAATCGTCCACGATTTTCCGCAGAAACTCACCATGATGAGAGGAAACTGAGATTGCAGAGTAAACGCGGCGTCTGAGGCAGAAATTCAAATTCGGGGAACATGAAGCGGAGAGAATATGGGATGACTGAAGAATGGATGGATGATGAATGAGCGAATGAACTGGTGTGTAAAAAAAATATTCGTGGAGCAAAACGCGCCTCCACGCTAGTTACGTCGGGGTGGGTGAGGGAAGGGAAGAGGATGCGAGAGACTCGTGGAGGGGATGCGGTGGGATGGGATGGAAGGGCAATCGGCCAGCAGACGAGAAGAAATGATGAGCGTTCCGGACCATAATTGAAGAAACTTGACCGACCGAAAGCAATCAAGCGTGCATGCAGGCGCGCAAAGCGAGGCATACAGCACGAGAAGCAGCAAGCCATGAAGAATCGAATGCAGGGTCGGTCAGGAGAAATATAAACAGGCCATCACTGACCATGTTGAACCAAATTGCTCGAGAGAATGTGCTTCTGCAGCAGTAGCTTCTGAAATGATGTCAACGTTTTGAAACCAACCACCAACTAAACTCACTCCTATCCACTCCACTGCCTCCTCCCCACCCTTTCCTTCGCTTCGTGTCTCTCTCTCTCAGAATCACTCAATCGTCCCAAGTTCTCCTCTCGAGCCCCACACTCATGCACAACTGCACAATATGCTTTCACAAACCTTTCCCCTCTCCCCTTCACCCTTCTTCTCTGAAAAGAATCTGTGCACCAGCACAAGGCAGGCGCAATGGACCAGAAAGCACCTGAGGCCAAAAGCCTGTCCCCAGCAATCGACCTTCACAGACACACAAAACTCGACAACAACCTGCTACGAATCTCGACAAACGAAGACACTCTCCTCTCTCTCTCTCTCTCTCTAAAACTCGCTCAGAAAACGGATTTCCCTTGCAACTCGCTCAATCATTCAATCAGCCCCTCCCATCAATCCAACAGGCTCGGATGATCACTGTATACATCAACTCCTCCAACATTTGTGGAAAGCCGTGAGGAGGTGGCAGCAGTGCAAAGGCAAGCCAAGCAGGAGAAAGGAGCAATCCACTCACTCACTCTCAAAACTCTCTCTCTCTCTCTCTCTCACTCACTCACTCAAGCAGAGGGAAGGAAGGATTGGAATGGAAGAATGAAGGCTACCAGACCCACCCCCAAAAATATAAACTGTGTGCATGTCCTAGTCCTTCCCAGCACCTTCTGGCCAAAGCACTGCCTCTGTCTCTCTCTCCCCCAGCACACAGACACAAGCAACATTCTCTGTATCACCCCTTCCCCTCCCTTTTCTCTCCTCTCTCTCTCTCTCTCCTCCCTTCTCCAGTTCAGTCTTGTCTCTCTATTCTCACACACGGGATAGATTATTGGAAACATTAATTTGGTTAGTTAATTCTGAGGGATTAATCAAAGCCGAAACCAGCTCGGTCAGTCGTACTCTCTGCGGTCAATCTTGTGAGCAGTACAACGATCTCTCATCCTTGGCATTGTCCGTGAGTTTAATTAGAGCGGTTGATTTGGGGTGATTAAGCGGGCAGAATGGGGGCTGAGGGTCAGTCAATTAGCGCTGTTCAGTAAATCAGGCCCCCCGTCCGCCGTACCCCCACCCAGTTCTGTGGATTGTACAATGTTTCTTTTCTCTTTTGCCTTCCCTGCGTCATCTGTCTTTTCCTTTTCCTTCCGGTTTCTGTCCTTCTCGTCGTCATGAGTCAGAAGCTCACAGACTTTGTCACGTCCTGAATAACTTGCATGACCACGTTGGTAATCGTTGGCGACGTCGCAAAGGTTGACAGACAGCGACGCGGTGGGCCAGGCCAGGTGTCAGCCTCGCCATGTCATCGTTCAGACACTCACTTCATATTCAGTCACCTGTACAGTAATGGTCGCGGCCTGCATTTCCCGACGTCGTCGATCGTCGCTGCGCACCCCCGCCCTCGCGGGCCCACTCGGGCCCTGGGCCCCTGACCCTGCTTGCGTCGGGTCGGGTCGGGCCAGGTCAGGTCAGGTCTGTTGACCCTGTTCCGGTCTGGTCCGGCCCATGTCGCTGCTTAACGATGTCCCCGAGGGGAAGTGAAGGCGGAGGCCGGACCTGATGTGATTTCGGCAACTTGGGTTGGGCCTTCATGAGGTACGGTACTTGATTGTCTGCATGTCCTGACCTGAACTGAAGGCTGATGCTTAAGATCCAATCTGTCGCTTAAAGTCCAAGTCCTGCCATTAGTTGAGTTCGAGCCCGCGCAGGGCCAGGGGCGAGGGCAAGGCAGGTCAGGGCTGCCCTGCCCTGGCATGGCATGCTCTTTGTCTGGGCTGGCCTGCCCGGAGCGCCTCCTGTCCTTTGAGGCCTTTCAAACTTCCTTAAAAGACCAGGGAGACCACATTTCCAAATTTGGCGTCGCTCCTCTGAGCCCCATTGATTGTGAGCACCGTCCACCTGCCGATTATGGGTGGGGAGAGCGGAGAGCAGGAGCCTAGCCTGGCACAATTAGTGCGCAGGATATCTCTTTCTGTGCGAGCATTCTGTCCGTTAGGCAGGTGGAAGTATCGTCATCGACTTACTTACTTGGGGCTAAGTTGACTTTAGATTTAATTATGATTAGCGAATGGGTCGCCTCCGGTGCCCTCCATTTATTGGGGTATCTGCTCTTCCTCGGAATCTCAGAGTTCATTTCTCGCGCGCTTCGCAAGATCTTTCAGATTTTCGCTACACTTTTTCGCGATCCACTAGGCCTGCGTTGTGGACTGTCTGCATGTTCGAGCTAGATTCCAAACTATAAACTAACATTTTGGCGTGCCCAAACGGGGATGCCAAATATCTTCAGCAATTCTCGGTCTGGATGTGCCCCTCGTCTCCTCCACTTTGTCTGTAACTGGAGATTGCACATGCGAATTTTGGATGCATGTTTTGATGATAAATGCTCGCTTTCTATCGAAGACATCACCTTCGGTTGCCAAGGCCCTTCCTGCCGATGAAAGCCGCCTGGGAAACGGGAATGTAGCGTGCCTCGAAGATAAATTTTTGGGCTGCATCCTCGCATATTAAAATTGAAATCTCTCATAAAGTTTACATATATTGCTTATTATATGTATGAATGTTCTCTCTGCCTTTTACTGCGCTCATTGGAATTACAAAATACCTGCTGTTTTATACCTGGCTAAAGTCCCATAATCTCCATCCCCTTTCATTTGCGAACAAATAAAGTTATGATGTAAAGAAATAAGATAAAAAACTAAGAATGATGCTGCACTTCAGAACCCTTAGGTAGTACTAGCCGCTCGAATGAGAGATCATCTTCTCGGGCTTCTTATGTTCATCAAATGGCTAAAAAATACAGTTCAATTATTGTTGCTTAAGCTCGACAGTCTTTTACCGTATATCAAGAAATAGATCTTTGCTAAATTTCATTAAAGAATACCCATACTCCACAAATTTCCTCATCGGATCCTCAGGTTTTCCGTACAAATAAAAAATGATTCATAATTGTAAATGTATGAGGATAATCTATCAAGATAATATATTGTATTCCCTCTCTTTTAGAATATAATGGGAGAGTCCATTGTGGATCATATCCAAAAGGTTGTGATTGTGTTAATTGCATAAGTTTTAAATTAACGTTTTTTGTGATGAATATATAAATTGTATTATATGATATTTAAAATAATTTCTGTTAAGTCAGAGTGTTTCAAATTTTTTGAGTCATTTATTTTATTTTCTAAAAAAATATATTTATAAACAAAAAAATTTAACAAATATAAAAATTTTAAATTCAATATTTTAATTACATAGCACAAAATAAATATTTAAATATGATATCATATATATTGAGCATGTTTATATAAGTATAATGAGTTATATGAGTTGAATATCATTTTTTTCAATCATCTATTGAAGTTTATGATATTTATGACCTTGTGTGACATTGTGATGTTACGATGTGAACGTCAGATTTTAAGCTATTTTTTTAATATATCCATATGTTGGACTGATGTTTGTGGCAAAAGTCTAAGATAGATAACTCTTGTAACACATCTGACATTTTTGAAATTTTAACGTGATTTTATTCGTTTTCATTTGTATGTGTAACGAAATGACTGTGATGTTTGTGCAAAGAATTTGTCTAACACTTAAATATTTTACGCATGATACTTTGTTAATTTTAAAACTCCAAAAATTTTCATCAGGAAAATATAGTAATAATTTTATCCAATAAATAATGTGCATGGATAAATTATCCTGAAAATACATATTTTATTTTATTTCGATTTACATCATGCTGAAGAAACATTGCATTCTCAAGGATTGTTTCTGAAAAAATTCGTCTTAACAAGTTCCCTGATTGAAAAGGGGAAAAATAATATTGCCCGGAGGCCCGATGCAGGAACACAATCACAAAATAAGTCCTTTGGTGTAACAGAACATGATGAATATTTTTTTTTCATGGAGGTACTTACTTGAATTACGGTCTAATGATCATAAAACTGGTTTGGCATTAAAAGACTGAAAGGAATATATCCCTCTGATCCAAATCCGTTTATTTATGAAGTTTGACATATTCACTGATTCGATAATTTTATTTACATACTAAATATTCACATTCCCACTAGAAATCATATTCATTACATATTTCAAATACTATTAATAAACTCATATTAATTTAATTTATCGATAGTCTTGGATGATAAATGATTTTCTACTTTGGAGAATATTGAAAACTTATTCAGGAAATAGAAGTCGGGATGACAGGATTTAAATATTTTGTTCGGAAGTCTAAACATTTGTTGCTTTGCTCTTCGACCAAATTTAAAATGAGATTTTTGTGTTGAATTTTATAACAACTAAACATCTATATTATCGATATAAATCATCGTGTACATTGATTTGATGCGAACTGATCTTCTTGCCATGAGTTTATACATCCAACTGAAGGATACTTTGACTTCTTGCAAAACTGATTTCTATAAGAGGAAATATATGACAACTCAAAAAGCTGTATAGCTACAACCAAACCGTCAAACCAATTGCCATAGTAGCGTGGCAAACTAAGACGAGGGATAAATATTTACTTTTGGAATCTCAAAGCCACCGTCCTAACACTGCTGAGGTTCTTGTAGGAGGCTGATTGCCCTACGACCGTACTCAGGTAAATCGATCACATACTTCCAACGACATTAGACTGATCCTGAAAAACCATAACGGCTACCAAAGATGGTGATGAGTCAATTTTATATGTACCGCTGCCTCTCGAGTGTCGCTTCTCTGTACCAATCCATGCTTCGGTAGAAATCGTTCTATCTTTCCAAAATGTTAAGATTGTGTATAGGATAAGATGATGACATGGTTGCTGTTCAGAAACTTCCATGTGTCTAGGTTCCACTAAGGATGAGCATAAGGAAAAGTACTTTAGAATACGATGGAACATGGGAACAAATCATTGAACTAGGATAGTAATGAGCAAATCATTAATGTATTTCTGAAAGATTGAGCCTTGAGATTGTTAAATCTCGGGAAATGTTTGTCCGAAACGAGAAGAAAAAGTTATGGTAAGCACACAAAAAATAACCCGAATTTCACCAAGAGATTAATGATTCTATTCCATTTAATGATAACTGCACCCCAATTCAGGAAAACGAGGCAGTATCGGTTCCATAGATTCCTGGAAGCAGATAAGTTTCGATAAACGAAGACATGCAGATTATTCCAATTCCACTCAAGTGACAAACGTTTGCCATTTGTGAACATCTGACTTGGCCACAACATGACCTCCCCAACTGATTGACTGAGTCACTGGCACGATTCCTGCCAATGTTCCTTGATTTGTTACAAGTTGCAAATCGGAGTTGCGAAGTGGTGTTATTGAGTTTGAACCTGCTGACCAGCTCCCTGCTCCCTCGCTCTCTGGCCCTCTGCTTTTCTCTGAAAGGAGAGAAGTGAGCCCTGTACGGTGGAACTGGAAGTCTGGAACCAGCGAGAATAAATTTTCAAAAGATATGGAAATCACATAGAGCTTGCTTGCACAAACCCATGTGAACACAGCCACCAAATCACACAGACCCATGTGCTGTGATCTGCTATCCAACATGGTCATAAACAGCAACAATAAAATCATAAGCATATGAGCAGCAGGAGGAACGCATCGGTCAATGTGATGATGACTTGATTAGAGTCAAGTACACCACTCCCCAGCAGCTGCGACTGCTGCTGTTACCAACGCTCAATCATGTCCACATCCGTTTGGGAACTCGACAGCACACACGAACCCTCAACTGTGGCCATGTTTAACATATCAATGCCCGCGTGTGAGGAACTGGGCTGGCTGGCCACTGGATTCGTGTGAAAAGACAAGCCCCGCCTTCACTCTGGGGCTACTGGAACTACGACTTGGGATCCAGAGCCAACCATCGCAGAGCGTTCTTTCCAACACGAACTAGAAAAGGCCTTCAACCGTTCCTCTTCGCAGATAGCATTCGCCTTGTTCTTAGAATTGTTCTCGTTCAAGGAACTCATGCTCCCTCTTGATGGATGCATCATCCATCATCCGATGTCTCGGAAGGGGGAAACCGAGTTCTCATGGGAGGCGAGGAAGTACTAATGCGCGCTCGAGCGGAGCAACTTTCGAGAGAAAATACACGGGACGAAGGAAGGAAGTAGGTTTCGAGCGAGCTCCCTCGCACCATCGCTAGAGCCATAAAGGGCTTGACGAAGCTGTTACACAGAAGGGACTGGTTGACTTGAGAAAACGCACCCAATGAACACCAAAGGGAATATCAGATATGTCTTGCCGTTATGAGCAAAAGGCCTTGGCGATGCCTTTCCGTTTCCTTCTCGATTTCGTAATTCTGTGCTAGTCGCCCTCGTTCCTAACTCCGTTTTGACTGGAAAAGCCGCGGGCCTGCGTCCCGCATTGATATGTCAAACGTGGCCACAAATCGAGGCTCTTTAATTGACTGGGAGAGAGATTGTTCTTGTCTGGAACGCTCTCCCACTCTGGCCCAATAAATGATAGGTTTGGTCCAGACTCCGGAGAAAAGAACATCTGGTGGGCCACAGCACAGCCCTCACTAAAGCAAAAAGCAAGCAAGCGACGCATTTCGAAGCAAAGCAAATCAAAGCAGGTGTTTAGGTTCTCAAGGGACTGGCAGCGAGCGAGGTAGCGAGCGAAGTGTGCCTGCGCCCCCTTACGTCTCCATTTCTCTGCAGCGAATTTTGAATCTTCTGAGGCCCACGCAGGCAGGCAGGACTCGGTCAGCACAGCAGCCTGTGCGCTGCCTCGCCAATGCCGCCATTCCTCTGGCAGCCACACCATTGCCGGCAAGACAGACGGTGATTTCCCCTTGGGCCCTGCTCGGCTTGTGTCTCGGTTAGTTACTTGTGAGCCCCGAGTCACCGGCCATCAGAACGAATGTTTTCTTGCGCATCTGTAGCAGCAGTTCAGAGCAGACCAGGGTGCAAATAGTGGTCTACCGGTATCTATTACCCCAGCCCCTCTAATCCATCCATCCGTCCATCCATCCCGGCGCGACCTACTGCTCTCTCTATCTTCGTGTGTCTGAAGTGTACTAGAATATTCATATTTTTACCCCCGCATTTCTCCACGTTGACAAGATTCTGGCAGAGTATGGCACATGTGAGGCGACTCCAGGATTCGCCGATCGTTCAGCGTCAGTTACTACGCGGGGCCTCATCAGAATTTGGGCGCAGGGGTTTTCTGAATAGAGAATGAATTAAAAAGGGTATTCTACGGGCGCTCCGGTTTATGACCGAGTGCAAGCGAGAGTTTTGCGCGAATCTATTCTCTCTCGTTCGGGAGTAAATAATAATAGGCGAAATATCACATCACGGTGGAGTTTCGTTTGATCAGCTGGTCATTTAAACAGCTGACAAAAGTGTGTTGAGCCTTGACCTTTACATTGAACATTTAGATTTCACAGACAAGGAAGATTTTATTTTATCTTAGTTGGCTCGTATGAAGCCGCATATTTAATTCCCGAGTGAATCGGCGGGGTTCAATTCTTCCAGACAGAGTTTTATTTCCACTGAGCTTCATTCAAAATGTTGCACCTGACACAAGGAAAGTGTGAGAGCTCGATCAGATGATATTGAATCCTATATTATATGGGGAAAAAACCGTGAACTTCGAGCAACTGGAAGTGATGGGAACTGACCGCACAGAATCTTTTCGACTCTCTTCAATGGACCATGCTATAAATTCTAGTGTAAGAGAAGCGCGTATGAAAAAAGTAGGTGAGCTAGTATTTTAGAGAGAGGCCCATTTTATTATTAATCCGTATAATGATTTTGTAAAGCCCAAATTGAATTCATCATACGCTCCGCCTCTGCTCTACACGTCTCGGCTCGCCTCGGAACGGTAGCCCGACAGCCCCCCTCACCCTAAACTCGCAAAAATCACCAGCCGCCCCAAGCTGGACCCATTCCAGAACCTAGGACTCTTAATTCAATCTGAAACATCAAAGCTGCAACCACGTTATTCGCTTATTGAAGGTCTTCAAAATATTCAATATGACTCTGAATAATACCACCCTTCCCCATGCTCCAGTCACAAAACTCTACGTTACCAAAATCGAAATACTGGTTATTTCGCTTTATGAAAGCAAATAAAGCGGTATTAGCTTTCGCAATCATTAATTGCGGGATGTAGATGCCACGTAAGAGCCACGTAAGAGCCACCAACCAGGGCTGGAAGCTTGCTCAACCGAGTTAAGGAAGTTCGTTGCTGTGTGGTCGGAAGTGGAAAGTGTTGTCTGTCATGTATCCAACGATATATATTCCATCACTTCCGGTACTGTCGGGTTCGGTTCTATTTTGTCATGGTCTAAAGCGGCCCTCGGGCTGGGCCTCGTCGTCGCCATCCACGTCAGCGGTGTTATTGTGTGACCGCATGTGCTGGAAACGAGAACGGAAGAGGACGAGCAGGACCACTGTAGATCTTCTGAGCATGAACGGCGCACAAGATTTGCTTCGCTTTGAGCTTTACTCTTCGCGACTGTAGTTTCCAACAGACGACACTTCGTGCCTGGAGTGACACAGTCGCTCCCCTCCCCTCCTCGACAAGCTCGAGACATGACAGCGTGCATACATACATAGCTTTGCGCCGAAGCGAAGACGATGCAGTAACTCCCGTTCTCGGGTGTTTAGAACACCCGTTCGCAAGGTCAAATCTTTGGCAAGGGGACTTGATTAGTGTACACGGCACTGGGGCACACTAATCGAATGGATAAAAACTATTTGAAGTGAGCACAGTGTGGGATGTTTGTTTGAATAGTAACTACTAACAGTGAGCATGAAGGTATTCTCTCTTGATCAACTAACTACCTGTCAAAACCAGACAGCAAAAAATAAAACAATTCATAAAAAAATTGAACTTATTCAGATGAATGTAACATAATACAGGTACAAATTAGGCTATACACGTACTACCTATATAGAAGATTATATGCATCTTCTTTAAAAAGAGAATATACTTGAGGTCATCTCCGAGGACTTCCATTCACAACGTAGGCAACAAATTATACAGAGTGGAGTTCTCATATTCTAGTTTCAGAACCCTAAACTCCATGTAACCAACTTCCGCATCCTTCAATCAAATAATAATTTATTGTTTTCTAAAAGTCACATGAAGTATTGTTTTTCCACATGCGAAACAATTCATCCTGACATGCCGATAAATAAGTCTCATCTTGTACATTGAGCTCATCATCACAAAACACACCATATTGTGGATGACTTGATGTTGTTTTCAGTACAGTAGGTTTTCATAATGTAAATAATTTGTGACATATGTATAGAATAGAGGCATTGAAGGACTTCAATAAGTCTTTTTTTGAACGTTATTGAACAAAATTCTCATAAGGAATTTTTATCTTATTAAAAAAGACAACACATGAGATATATAAAAAAGAATACGATATTCATTCAAAAGCTAAAATAATTTGTTTTGGCATCCATTTCTTCTTATCCTTTATCAAAACAAACTGTGGATCTGACGTGTATATCAATGTTATTTAAATTTTACTTTCATATAGATGAATTTAGTTGATCCGTTCATTCCTTGGTTGTCGGCTTCAAAGCTGTTTCTATCTAACAATGTTAATCAAGTTATTAACTTGCATGTCAGTCCAATTAGAAACAATTAGTCCAATTATTCTCAACACAAGCCATAAGGATTGACCGGTCATAATAGATGGGTTATGCGTGTTTTCTCGGCCTGAAGCGAAAGTTTTAATTTTTCCTGGAGGAAAGTAGAGACCTCTTCCTTGTACGGCTAGGGCTTTTGGACCTGTGACCCCTAAAATCTGTTTAAATCTCGTAATTCCTGTTCAAGAAATATTCATGAAAAAATGTACTTTTTGAAAATATATGATCTTGTAAGTGCATTTCACGTTTACAAAATATATCTAGAATAATGAAATATCCAAATTAATATCAAAAATTAAAAACCATGAAATTAGAGATCACATATTAAGTAGATTCATTATGATAAGAAGGTGGAAATTTAATCAGGATTATATTATCTTTCATCATCAACATCATTTTGATCTATGATATATTATTGTTTTTTCATGTAAAGTATGTATTACCTGAAAGGAAATTAAGTAATTCATATTCATAGCTCTGCGCTAATTCTTGGCAAAAGGTAGACAGTTGCCTACTTATTTGTTCAGTTATGTTTTCTTGTTGAAAGTAGAACTGGCTCAATAGGTGTCAATAGTTCTTGTTCAGAGTGCGTTTACTTCTAAAAACAATTATCTTAATTCAGATAAGTAAATCAAATGTAAGTTTATACTGAAACATCTGAAACATGATTTATACAAATCTATACCACATGTAAAACTACTAAATTCACTCACTAGATTCATCAGATTCAGGTATATTCAATACAAGTCTGGTTTGATTTATCTATAAAAAATACTTAATAATTATGACGGGAAAAAATTAATTTTTTTTAAGACCAACTCACTCGTTTACATCAAAATTTTCAACAAGATCCAAAATTATATATAATTAATTATTCAGGTACTTAATAATTGTACAAGCATTTGGACAAAATTGGCATTAGATTCCTTTACCAAAAATATAGGTGAAAATTGGGATTTTTCGTTGTATGCAAAATCTTTTGAATATAAAAATAAATTAATAGTATATATATTATTAGTGATACATTTCATAAATAATAAACTGAAAATATTAATATTTTTTTTTAAAGAATGAGTTCACAAACTTAAACATATTATCAAACTTACAAATTTGAATAAAAGATAAATTTTGACTCATATTTTTTATATAAAAATTTATATCATCAATGTTTATAAATTTTGTTCTTCAATTTAAGTGTAACATGAATCTTGTGAGTAATTCATGAATAAAATACAGTCTAGGACAAAGAAAGTTACATGATTCAGCATATACTGTCTACACAAATACAACAAACTGTAGTGCAATAACACTAATTTGAATGCCACCAAGGAATGATCCGCTTTTAGGTATATTAATAGACAAACTAATTCGAATTGAACTAATAATAATTAGCCATCATCTCTTATAAAGTTTTAAGTCTTATTTTGAATCTTATTTAAATTATCATATTAAATTTTAATATTATATTTTTAGATATATTTCGTGAATATTTTTTCAGTATTAGGCTTTTTGGATAATATTGATAATTTTATTGACTGAAAAAAAGTAAATTTAATATCCACAAAATGTATGTATGTTATGCTAATTACAGCACAATAATATGCATTATCACATCAATAAATTTTTTTATCAGAAATTAAAATTTATTTTATTATTATTATTGGTATATATGTCATGTTTTTATCACAAATCAATTTTATGACATTTGGTTTCAATGACAAGATTTAGGTCTAAGTAATCTAAAATTGCTTATCAAACTGAAACACAAAGATTTTAACAAAGAATGATAATTGACTTATAGTGTATCATTAGTAAGATAGCATGTGACATCAAATTTTTATGAAAATGAATCTCTATCATATTAAAAAAATATTTAAATTTTTTAGATTATATACTAATATCTTATATAATCTTTCATTTCATTTGTTAATGATTTTATATTAATATATAATAAATTTTCATGTATTTACTTTAGAGAATGGTTAGTTATACTTCGATTTATGCTAATTATCTTTAATCTTACAAAAATTATATGAATTATTCAAGAATGGAGTTTTATGATTGATCAGGAAAAAAAATTCCCCATTCCCACCACTAACTAAAGTAATAACTAGCAATAGCATACAATGTTGCGTGACAAACTTTTGCCTGTGAATGGAGCATGTTCATTTTGAATTGAGATGCATATGGTGAAAATGAATGATAATTAACATCAACTAAGAAATGATTAATATTTTTCTTATTTTAATGTATGTTAAAATCCAAATTATGGATTAATGAAATTATTATTATATCACCTTGCTTTTATATTGAGTGAACATATGAACAATTTTGAGTGTGTGATAATATTTTATCTCACACTCAAAATTGTATTTACCATACATCACATTCGTACGTAATATGTATGGGATGTGATGTACGGATATGTAATCATTGGAAATTTCGTAAGTAGTTACACTTGGTTGAATTAAATATCACATGATTGACATGATCTAGACAACGCTACCAGTTGGTATGGATCACACTTGTGGGTAATAATGGGAGATAAGTATATGTAAATGAGTCTCAAAACATCACGAAATTGTGGAATTTGTTTTTTATGATCATATATATTGATACCAACCGAGCCAATAAAACTGCTTTTGCCTTCCTGATTCACAAACCCCATTCATCTATAACCGTGTTTTTAGATTATCGATTAGTGAACGGTTTTTCTTCCAACACCTTGACCTGAACTAGTGTCACCCACAGTAATTCAGAAACCTTTGCTATTTACGGTCGATGATTTGGATTTGGATTTGCAAAGTTGGCCCAGAGAGTGGAATCTCGAATGCCAGCAGGCAAAAGATGCGGAAGACCTTGGTCTCCGTGAGGGAGACCATGTGATGCAAGAAATGCGAGTGCACTGTGATGTCACGCCACATTACATTACATGAATCTTTTGAAAGTTCATGCTGCGTTACGAAGCTTTAGCAGGGCACTCTTGACTCGGTGTGAAGGAAGGCGGTGCCTTCGGACGAACACCTTCTACCTCTCGCGCCGTTATCCGAGGACTTACTTCCGCGACAGGCGCTTCTGGAGTCAATACGAACGTTACGGGTTGTCACAGGGCCGGATTTCGCGTAGGGTAAAAGAACCCCATATCCTGAATTGACAGTTATGAACTCGATGCAGCGGGTGCAATCTTCTCGAAAACCGTTGATCTCGAACCTTTTTTAAGTTATGCTCGCTCTAAGTCTGCCAATAGCCGTGGGTTGCCATCGCCGGTGATTTTCATGAGCAGTGCGCATCAGCTCGCCCAAAAGTTGTGCACGATGTAGCACAATCCCCAGGCTCGGTGAATCTTGCCGTCAAATATCCCGAGCGTAGTTGTTCTTTTTCTAATTTGAGAATCACCGTGGATTCCTACAGTGGCAAGTTAGGTAAGTTGCGTGGGCAGTGGAGCTTGCAAAGGATTGAGAAATGTTGTGCTCTGCCTTCAATTAGTTATGTACTCCGTGTACTGGATTATACCCGATGTCCAAGCTGTACACACTCTCCTCGACTCGAGAGCTGTACAACTTGCTCCGAGGCAGCGTCATGGTTTTTCTGGCTCACAAATACCTGTCACAGGAACTTTCACGTTTTGCCGCTGAAAGTTGCGCCCGGTCATTTATGGAGCTTCCGGCGATGGAAAGAAACCCCGGCTGCAACCACAGTTTCCCCCAGTCTGAAGCTATCTTGCCGTCGAAAGTGGCCGACCACCTGTAGAGGAAACCTGTACTCTCCGAGGCAAGCATTGTATGTAATACTTTTCTTTATACACTAGAATGATAAATCGAACAACGAGACGAAGGGCGTGAGCAACACCACAGCTGAAAGCGAGTGTGTCTCTTAAAGGGACGTTGGAAGGAGAACGGGCGTGTTGCATGGGGGACATCGACATAGGCTTCATTATGGATGGATATGTTAGTCGACTGACTGTTAAACACCGAGAATTGAATTTCCATCTCCTTGCCAAGTACAAGCTCGGAGGGTTGTAATCATTAGTGTCGATTGTCACTTGACAACATCGAGGCGTGCCTCAAATGATTGACACTTTCACATCTGCATGCACAACCCCAAAAGATGTTTGTTTTTAAAGAACAGTTTGAGACCATACCACAGAAGTAATTAATGTGAGACGAGAGTGCATCAAAATTTGGTACCCTCCTATTCCTCTTTGGTTCAATGTAGTGAAGTGTGATAATCTAAGCAGCCGGTGAGCCAAACTATTTTGATGTTGTGCATAAACTTCAAAGAGTTGCGCTATGAACCTGTCACTACGGAGCTTATATGTATTGTACTCTATTCTATCTTGTTCATGCTTTTCGAAAATATCAAAAAAGTATTGCGGTACAGTTTTGGAGTGGGAGATAAACTCCAGTGAAGAATATCCACCAGTTATAACTCTATCTATTGGAGTATATTACCCAGACCTCCTAGGTACTGTGACCCAATCACTCCAGATTTTATACTCTAGTCTGTCTGATTATAAAGTAACTCCACTAACATATAGCAATATTTATAAAAAAAATCCTACACAGCGTGAATGTGATATATTGTTCTGCATAGAATTGTCTTTCTCGCTGTATATGAATGTGTTTTGATCGTCAGGTGATGCTAGGTTGAATATTTTGTTATTTGTAATCTATCTGACCTTGATGTCCTATGGAGATGTAACTTAGACCAACCATTGTGAATCCAGCTGGAAATTTGACCTTGATTTTCTTTCTCTAGTCGCACAGATCTTAATGTTTGAATATTTCCTCCATTCCCACACATTATTATGTAAAAGAATTATGTTGAACAGCTTATACGTTGTCTGTTATCTCAGTTTCTTTCTATACATTACATATAGTAATTAAAATCTATACCTTAAAATTAGAGTCTTGGTTGTATGGGATAAAATTGATATGATTTGAGATTAAAAACGTTATTTTTTTATCATATATTGTGATTATGATATACATTGTACAAACATATGTGAGTTAAAAAATATCAAAACACAATTCTATATTGAAATTCAAAGAGTGTCTATTAATAAGCAGAATTTTTTAATAGGAAAACTCATATTTATAGTTGTATTCAAAATTGCACAAAAAATTGATGACTTTTACAAATTACTTAGAAAATTTGAACTAAAAGTTATATTTCTTCACAAGAATTCATAAATGATTAGTTTTTACTTGCAGGAAAACATTGAACGAAATCCCGTTTTTTGGAAAAAATATTTAACTTAAAATTTTTAAATTCTACTTTTGGAACGGTATTTCATGTATAGTACTAAAACTTCATAAAACTTTTATTGAGAAAGTATTTTGTGAATATTTCATTATAAATTTTGTTCAAACTTCATGAAAAATAAAATTATATTGTTAAAAGACTACAAGAAATATATATTTTCACTCAGATTAATTGAACTTAAACTAGAATTTCTTATATTTGAACCAAAATTTACAAATGCATTATTCTAATCAAATGAAACCTTCATATTCTGTAACAATACAAATTTTTCTTAGAAACACATAACTATTCATCTATTTAATGATACGCAATAATCTTAAATTATAAATGATAAAAATACATAAGAGATATATATATATATATATATATATATATATATATATTTAAATGCTATAGCTAAAAAATCAATTATATTAGATTTTTTTAAAAATGATAAGATTCATATAAATTTTTTTCCTTCTATATAAATATTAAGAGTATTATTCAAAAAACAAGTCTAAATTGCAACATAGATGATAATCATTGTTGAAAAAATTAGTTCTTATATGAATATGATGTGTCTCATCTTGAAGATAATTATAAATAAAAATATGATACCATCAATTTTATCCAAATATTTTCAAAAATAATATCTTAAAATTTATCATAAAAATTTATTCTCATAATTATAAATTTAGTATTTGTGTTTTCAATTAGTAACTAATAATTTTGATTGTTTTCATGATTGCTTCTGAAATTCAAGAAGAAAAAGTTGAATCACATTCAAAATGTTTTATTCAATTTTTATATCTCATAATAATAAATTTAATTTTTTTTGTCTTTAATCATATGATAATTCCAACAGTTATCAATATTTTAACGCTTTTATTGATAATTTGATAATTTTATTTTTTCCCATAATATTTTGAATTAAAATTTCAGTCTTATATATAGGTTTAATAAAAATATTGATTTGAAATTTATTGAAATTTCAATTTCAATGATTTGGTGTTATTCAATCAAATTGATTCTAATTTTGTGCAGAATATGAAAGCATTTTATTTAAGAGTATTTGATTTCATAAATTTTATATATAAAAGAGTTATTTTTGATTAAAATTATTCATATCATAATAAGATGCCAATGAATTATATTTTAAATTTTTTTGGAATTTTTTAAATTTAAATAGATATTATTTTCAAAATATTTTCTGCTTGAAATATTTTTTTGTTCAATTCCTATTTTTTTTAATAAAATTTGCAATTTATATTTATTATAAAAAAATTATATAAAATGAATCATTTAAAAAAAAGAAGTCAAATATATGTTTTGAAAAGCCTGATATGAGCCGAATATATGATGATCATTGATATTTATGATATTGTTTAACAATCTATTTTATAGCTAATGACTCATGAGCTATAAAATAAACCATTCTTTCTTTGCTATTGATCATGAGTCATGATCAATAGCAAAAAAAGAATAAAGTCATTATTAATGAATTTATAAATTGAAAGATGATTGCATTGCAAGTGGTTGAATTTAAAAAAATTGTCATTGCATTTTTTGCAAGACAAGATAGTTGAAATGATTAGCAATTCAAGGTGGTGGGAAAAAAATACAATTCAATATTGCTCAGTATTTGATTATTGATGAAATAGATTAAAAAGAAGAGCCACATGATTCAATTTTTAATTTGTGGATAGAAAGTTAAAAATTAATGTTTGATAGAATGTCATGAAAGATGATGAAAAGTTTACACATATGTTAAAGCCATATTCATAAAGCTCAGAGAGATGAAAAATTATTTACAAGACCGTCATGAGATTTTTTAACTCATTTTATACATGTCAAATGTAACATGATGTATAATATTCTACATATCCATTTTGTAAGTCCCAACCATGAAGATCGATCAGCATGCACGACATTCACAACACTGAGATAACGTGGCTCACCTTCCAAAGGCTACATCCACGGGCAAGAGTATAAACTTCACTAAAGCACATGTGTATACATGGCTTCCACAGCCAAGCTCTGCTACTTCATGCTCACTCTCAAATTATTACTCTGAACTGTACATAGTGAATGACTACTTCTCTATTCTATACAATATAAGAGGTTAGAATTTGCTTAAATCTGAAATTTCATTAATTTGTCAATATTATGTACTGAAGAGTTCAATTTGATGTCAATCCGAGTGATTTAGACCTAGGAAAATTGGCTGCAGATAATCTATCAACAACAAAAAATGTAGTTGATTAGATGTGCCGATATATGTGGACGGCTAGAACAGCAAAAAGTTGGAGGTCAAAGTTGCTTTTTTTGTGACAACTTTGCTGGTGGTTTATTATCTATGAATGATTGCAATGATTTCTTTAGCACGTTCATCTTCTTGCAGTTGAAGTTAGGAGCAAAAGGCATTGAAGTTCTAACAACTTTGAAGAATCACATGACTACATTGACCTCATCAGCACGTCTAACTTGTTGCAAGCAAGGATAACAACTAAAGATATTCAAGTTTTGACAACTCTGTACAAAGTTATTGTTATGACCTTATTCTTGTTGTGATTGTTTTTCACAAAATTGACATTGTTTCATCTGGGGAACCTACCTGTTGTGAATGTGGCCTGCTTTTTCTAAATGTACATATTTTTTGTCTTGAAATGGGAATGCAAAAATTGAGTTCATTACTTGTTGTTGTCTCACTCTAAAAAACTTCTAAAGTACATGTTGCATTGTCTCCAAATGCATAATTCATATTTCGTTCATACCTTAAGAAAGTAACATTCATGGTATTTTTCTAGATACGTAAGATGCACATCTTAGCTAATCTAACCAGCATTAACATTCCTAACCATGATTATCACTAACTGAAGTTAATTCAAGATAAAGTTAACCTATCAAACTTCCCCCTTGACTCAACTTTTGGAGAGCTAACTAATGCAGTCCACATGTATCTTTGCGGAAAGTTATAGAAAGTAAAACTAAATCACGCTTTCCCTCTACAGCCGAGAGTTAACTAAAACTAAGCTGTAGCCGACAAAACCCGGATGTAGAATACATGTACAAAAGTTACTAGACCAACCATCCTTATGCAAAATTTGCAACTTTGCACAATGCTTGGAAAAAATTTCCAATGAGTTCACTTTGGTCAATGCATCGGCATGTTTGAGCTTATCATCAATTTTGATGAAGTTAAATGCACTATCAAACACCGCTTGTTTGATATAATGATATCAGATATCAATCTACTTTACCCTATCATCCATCATATTTTTTTATGCTAGATGAAGTGCACTTTGGTTGTCACAGTACAGATTCACATCATTGTGTGACAGCTCCATATCAGTGGCCAACTTGTTCAACGAGATTGATTCATTTGTTGCTTCTGCTGCCGCAACATATTCAGCTTCTGTGAACGACTAGAAATGCATTTTTGAAGTGTAGATCTTCAACTTATGCATCCACCAACAAGAGTGAAAATATATCCAGTTGTTGATCTCCGTTTATTTGGATGTACTTCTTGATCAGCATACCCCAAGAGCAAAGTTGCATTGTTTGATCGTGCATCAAACAATAATCCAGTATCAAGAGATTCCTTGATATATGTCATTATCCACTTCAAAACTTCCCAATGTTCTTGTCCAAGATTTGACATGTACCTATTCAACTTCCCAACTACATATGTTATATCAGGTTAAGTTGTACCATTAGATACATAATAATGCAAATTGCGCTTTCATAAGTAATAGAAGACATTAATACTTTTGGAGTTGCATCAGTTTGACAAAAAGTTTTCTAAAGCTTAAAGTGTGCAACTAATGGAGTACTTACAATATTAGCATTTGACATGTTGAACCTAGCAAGTATTTTTTCCGCGTTTGAGTCAATCAAAGTTTGATTGATGACTCGTTCCTGTGGATTTTCATGTTTAGAATACGCTTAGCTAGACCTAGATTTTTTATATTAAACTCAGAACTTAGCTGGACCTT